ATAGCATGTCTATTGCAGGCCAGAATAAAGGAAGAACGCCCCCCACAAAAGAGCATGCATTCAGCATAGCGTCCGTGGCCACAAAATGGACATATAGTGTCCGGATGAGGAGGGTGCCTGCAGTCAGGAACTCCGACAATCCTGTACACACATGAATGCAGAAACCATCTCATGGTAGTGATTGTGACAAAGATGATGGCGAGTACACCAAAGTGCAACAGTGTCTGTGGCTGTACAAAGGAGAAGGTCACATAGTGTGTGTACATTGTACTGCTGCACTACGGTGCCAGAGGAATGATCTTCGACATAAAGGAGATTGTGGACAGTTTGATGTGGCAAGAGAACARCATCATAGAGTAAGAAATCAGTAATATCAATCATGGCATGGACCATGACACCATCGTTCCACACCTCCCAATGGTCAGAGGCGTGTACAATAGCCATGTAATGGCCAGGCCCGCGCACAATGCAGGCAAAGATGTGGGATGGAGGATTAAACAACTCACCTGGTAGAGCATGGCGTAGTTCAAGCTGGCGGTTCCTCATCGCTATTTCTAGGACAGCAATGGTAAAACCTCCTTCCCTGGTGTAWTTACGATGCTCTGGCTGTAGGTCGGGGGGATCAGCGAGATTAGCGAGATCAACATCAAGTTGTAGGGCAATTGCAAGGAAATCTGATAATGTATACAACGGCCGATTGAAAATGTGAAGGCAGCTATTAGTTGCAGTCAGACCACAGAGATTGGCAGGGATCTCAGGCTGGTTTGGTTGGTCAGTCATTTGTAGATCACCCGTGGGGTCTGCGCAGGGTGGTGCACAAGTATGCGGTTCATCCATATGATCCTGGTCAGCCATATGCACATCCCTCGTGGGGTCTGCGCCACGTGGGATTAAAAGCAGTCCAAGCAGATCATGTTCCAGTCCCTCAGCGTTCGGGGCCACACAGGGTGGGGCACAAGTATGCGGTTCATCCATATGATCCTGGTCAGCCATTTGCAAATCCCCCATGTGGTCTATGCCTTGCGGGGTTAAATGCAGTCCGAGCTGATCATGTTCCAGGCCCTCAGCGTTCGGGGCCGCATGTTGTACAGTTGGGGGACAAACGAACATGGAAGGGCATAAAACATGGTGCTGTGGCTGTGTGCAAGCAGCTGGACTGTCTGCAGGAGGCATAGGAGCGGATGTATCCGTTTGGGACAACGGAACCGCAACAACCTGTGGAGGAGGCACAGAGAAAATTGGGGTAGACAAAGAAGCAGGCCGCTGATCCTTGGCCAAGTGGCGATGTTGTGCATGTCGTCAACGATGATACACAATAAGAGGAGTGGCGATGTTTTTAACAGAAGATGAGGATGTCATTGGCAATGAAGGCGGAACAATGGGAAGAATAGAAACCGGAGAATCGGTTCTCAAACGAGACCGTGGAGGAGATGGGGGTGGCGAGGAGGAACGCAGCCGTCTGCGGCCAAGCACAGAGAGGGATGAAAGGGGGGTGGATTGGGCAAGATGTCGGAACATAGGACGCGAGTGTCGGGCTGGGGTAGAGGAAGCTATACCAGTAAAAACTATAGCATGAGAAATTCGAGCTACAGAAGCAGAGGAAGTGGTAAAAAGTGGAACTGCAGCAGAGACAACTGTTGTAGCAGGAACCGCAGCAGAGGCAACTTCCGTAGCAGGGACCGCAGCGGAGGCAACTTCCGTAGCAGAAACTGCCGGAGTGAAACCCGGAGTTGAAACAGCAGCAGTAGAAACTGCAGCAGTGGAAACCACATCGGTGGAAGCGGCGGCGGTGGGAACCGCAACAGTGGGAACTGCATTAGCAGCAGATGAACAAGCAGTGACAGGACG